AGAAGCGTGTCGGCAGCGGGGGCTGCGCGGCGTGCTGGGGCGGGGGAGCGGACCGCTCCGAAGCGGGTGTTCCGTTTCGGTGGAGGAGCCGGTGCGTGCGTTCCCTGCCTGACGGGTGGGTAAGCCGCCGGCCCCCCTCGCTTCAGCCCCTTCCTCCCCCGGGGTAGTGCAGGTCGAGGGTTTTTGCTGCTTGCCAGGTGGAAGGAAAATACCTCTTGGGGTTTTGAATCGCTCCTACTTCGCTGACAACTCATTTTTTCCTGCCATCGGTGGCTTCCCTGTCTTAAATTGCAATATAAATACATTTTATTTGAGCACTTCCTTTAAACAAACAAACAAAAAACCTCAAGACCCAAAACTTTTCCTTTTAACCTTGCTATCCTGAAAGCATCCTCCTGGCTTGACTTTCTTTAGCCTCCTTTCACCTTGCGTTGACTATCCTCCATTCAGAACAAATCACAAAATTTGTAACAGAACATAGGAAACTAAGAATCAGAAAAACAAAGTGTGCTAACATTAGAAGTATGCATGGCAGCCTTCGGGGTTGGTTTTTTTTTTTTTTGGCCAGCCAGACCTGCTGTACAGAAATAACAGCACTTGAAAAGTTCAGTCAAATGCCAGCATTGATTGCTTATGTTCTGACATCATAGGAAAAATATGTCTACCTAATATATGCACAAATTGTGGATGCAGTGAGAGGCATCATATAGATATACATGTTATGCTTTGAAAGTAATTCATTATAAGCATCCTATCTTGATTAAAATAGAGTGGTTTTATGGGGAAACTAATTAAAAAACGTTCAGTTGACATCAGTGCACTTTCTGTGTGTCCCGGCTTGCATCTTTTAGGCAAGAGTGAGGCGTCCTGTCATTGGCATAAATACTTGCTTTACTTGGCAAAGTGCGAATAGTCATGACTAAAGCTAAAATGAAACCAAGAAACCCAGTCCCACTGGGTTGCTTGCACCATAATGGCTAGAAGCACCAGCCCCGGATCAGAAGAGCCCCACTATGGAAAGTAATGTATAGAGCAAAATCCCAGTCCCCTCTCTAATGAATTCTTCAATAGGACAAGACAAGCGGCAGCTCGGGGAGGCTTGCAGAAGAGTACAAGGAAACAAACATAAGATGTTCCTATTAAAGATGTTTTCAAGCCCTGAGAGCAAATCACAGTCTAGAACGCACATATCGATAAAAAGCCTTTAGGAGCAAGCTTAGTCTTTGCCACCTATAACTTAGCACATGAAAAAATCTTAAGAAATCTTGCTCTGATAAATTTTGTTTAGAAGTAGATGCTGGCAGAAATTACCCTACAGGTGTTTTATCCACACATGAATGCTACAGTACAAGATGCAGAACTTTCAGGGACGGAGTAGGAGGACCATGTATGGAAAGGCTGACATCTTATTTCTTTGGGTTTTTTGGCTTTGTACAAATGAGTGCTGCATAACAGAAGGAAAGCCAAGAATATCTGAAAAGGAACTGCAGAAGAATGTAACCATGTATTTTTCTTGTTTCATTGCAGTCCTCTGTTTCTAATTATAAGCCAGCTGCTGAAGTGACTTCATTCAATAACTATTTTGATTTGATCCTGTCTACCACATTAGTCTCAGACTCACAGTTCCCAAACTCCAGTCATCTATGTAATTCAAAAGCAATATGATTATAAAATATTAAATATGTCAATTTTTTTTCTTCTCAGAAAAAGAACTCTTACAAAAAAAAAGGCTGAAACATACAATTTCATTTTTTTCCAAGTAAAACTTGGCTTTCAGGAAAAATAAAAATCTTTTTCTTCTATGTCACAACCTTTCTGCATAAACATTTTGGTATAATTTTGTCTTTTATAGGCACATCAGTACAGTAAAAAGCAAACACTTTGTATTTCAGGTATACGAGAAATCTTGTGGACAATGGAAATGGAAAGTTCAACTTGATGATCTTGTGCTGGGGTGAAGGGCATGGCAGGTTCGTATCCAAAGACTATGGTTTTAGCAGATGGATATAAAGCCACTGTATCTTTCACTGTCATACAAAAAGACACAAATAATCAGCCCTATGTGAGCTATCAGAAAGTGTCTGGAAACTAAGCAGTACAGAGCTTCTATTGGCACAGCAGTCCTGAATATTTGCTGTATCTTTTGCAAGTTTCATGGACATTTTTAGAGCACTCTTTTAAAAATACTCTGTTTTTCTACCAAATCTAAGCTTCCCTTCTGTCAGATGAAGTTTTTAGTCCCAGAGATACAGCAGGTCCTGTGGGCGGGATATGTGTATATGTGTCCCACATACAACACTTGGTTGCAGAAGCAGGACTTGGTGCAGTTTAAATAGTCTTTGTTCTCTCATGGTGTTTAAATCCCACCTCTCTGACAAGATGAGAAAAGTACGTTTGGGTTAGGACTGCGGGCTGTGAGGAGGGATCCCCTTTCCAGGAGTACTTGGCTTTCTTTAGGTTCATGCATCCCATCTCCTCCCTCAAAATGGACCACACTGCTGATGCGGCCTCTGGAGTCGTGTACACAGGCTGTACACTCGATCGTGTAGTCCTACAAATGTAAGGGCAGGATCTGTCCCTTGGAGGGTCTTTCACAAAACGTTGGCTAAAACAAAATACCGAATAAAAAAACCTTGCAGGTTTCGACTGATTATTCTCACATATGCATAGAAAACCGAAGGAGATGTCAGAGCTGTTTTTTGTTTGTTTTAATTGAGCATGCAATTGAACATTTACAGTATTCTCTAGGGGATGGCATGACGTTATACTCAGAGGGATATAGGAACCAAGCCCACCACCTCTACTCCTTCCAGGCTATTTCCACAAAGCCTGTAATTTATGTCAAACTGTGTTTGAGTTGGATGAGCGTTTGCTAGAGCTAGTCAAGTTGTTTTTGCTTCCTACATGAGGAGGATCAGATTGTTCTCATGGCTTGTGGAAGGAGCGTGACAACGTGGCATTTGTGAACTGTTCTGTGCCTGAAGCAAGCTCTGCTCTCTTGGCATCTCAGTTAGTAAGAAACCCTGACATTTGTTTACTGAAAACAGTAACGTGCAATACCAAGTTTTTGACTGAAACTCATTAGCACTGTACTTCCAGGAGGGCCAAATTCCCCTTTCTCCCTTGCCCCCGATGAGTGGAGAACTCTGTCCTAATCCCATTGACTTCTGTAACAGTTGGCCCTCTATTTAAAAAAAAATAAAACCAAAACTAAACTACATATCTAGCCCATATGTCTCCATATGTAGCAATTAAAACATACTTCAGAGCAAGGACACAGATCTAGCAAGCAGACAAATCATACCAGATCCTGCTGTTTTGTTCATGTTTTGCCAAGCTAGTGACGTTAACAGCTTACTGAAACTGGTTGCACTTAGTACTATCAGAGTGAGTTTTTCTTCGACAAATGCCTGTGCACCCCAGCAGTAAAGAGACCATAGAAATTAAACAGAAGTAGCTCATTTCTCCCATGTTTCAGGAGCGAGCATGGTGGATCTGCAAATATCAGGTATACTTGCAAATTTATATCAGCCTCTGCCTGGGGTCACTGTGGAAAGCGTCGTTTTGTTTCTTGACCCACAAGAGTTTTTGTGTTCTGAAGAATTTTTCTGTCCCCCTCCCTCCTCCAGCCTTCCTTTGTATTCCTCTGTGGCAAAGTCAGAGGTTGATCAATATCTGATCTTTCTCCAAGTCCTGCTGTATGTGAGCTTATCCCAATAAATTTCTAAAGTGGCAGTTTTAAGTAGGAATACCTTAGTCACTGTGAATTTTTTTTTTCCTAAGACTCTTGTGCAATGGCATTTCATTCTAGGGCTATGTCCAGATACAATATGTTATGCCATCCGTCCTATTTGCTGTACTGAAATTAAATATGTATATTGCACTGAGTTTGGTTATTCTTTTTACATATATAGCAGCATCCATGATCACACTGACTCTCACTGCTTCATGAAGATCCTACAGGGAAATCTAAAGGAGACTCTGTTTGAATGGCCTGAGAAAAAAGGGAATGGTGAAATGACTAAGAAATCAGAACGAGTTTTGAGAGAAAATCAATGTGCCTACATTAATGGTAAGCTATTAAGCTTGTTTTGACAACCACCCATCCATGAGTATTATTCCTAACATAAGAGTTCATCTGCTTTCTAGTCTCCTACCTTTAACAGTATAATACTAATGGCTTTATGCACGGTTTTAAGAACATGGCTCTCTAGATTCTGCACAAACCTGTATTTAGATTCAGTAAAACAAACAATAAAAAAATATGCTTTTAACTCACTCTTAAGACATTGCAGCAATTGCTTGATACTTAAGTATGCCGGATATCTACTCTAGACCAAGCAGCCTTCAGCACTGTGTCCATAATGACTATCTGAAATTGCTTGTAAACATAGACCTTGAATAGTATTTTGTGAGAAATAAGGGAACCAAGGTTTAGATAGCTTAATCACCTCGATTTTTTTCAAAGAAATAATCCTTTTAGTCAGTCATGGAAATCCTAGGGCAAAAATGTAAAAGCTGTCTAAGGAATAAATTGACCAGCCGGGAGCAGAGGCCCCGATCCTCAGTGCTACTTCTTGTCCAAATCAACGAAAGACTGTAGTGCTGAAGTGCAGTGTCAGAGTTGAAATGCTCAAGTCTACCCAATCTACAAAAAAAATTGCCTGACTGCACAGATGCTGAGAGACCACTAAGTCTCCACCAGTAAGGCTCCCTAGGTACCTAAATCCATGCCATTACACGTATCTGTAACTATCACCATCTTGTGCTATGCTGGAGGCCATCCTGGAGTGGCCAGCTGGGTGTAACATACTCTGATGCTATGAAAGACATTGCACATCATGCTGAACAGCAATGAGTTCAGCAGAACAAAGGCAAAGCGTCAGAGAAGGGGGCCGTCTGCCTTTTATGTGATGAGTTAAAAACTGGAGCACACACCTTGTGGGGCTGAGCTTGGGAACTCCCCGGTTGGAGGGAGCCTCATGTTGGGTTATGGACTAAGCCAGGGTGAGGGGCATTGGGGAAGAAAGACTCCTGCTCTGCAGCCCTCTGTTGAAGGTATGCCACATTAAGTGAAAATCCATAGGACAGGAAATGCAAGAAGGAGCTTGACACGTCTGCTGGTGCTCCCATGCCAGCGACATGGATTCTCAGACTCAGTCAGGTTTTCCTACCTATGCGGTTCTTTCTGATGCAAGCAATTGCACCCTGGGTGCATCTGATCCAAAGCTTCCTTGGTTGTGTTAAACAAATTTGATATCCAATTCTCTGAGGCAGTTTGGATCTCTGCCATGTTTCATAACAGATGTTTTGGCTTAAAAGAAACAGGTAAAACAAGTAGAAGGAAAACACTGACAATGTGTTGATTGCACTAACTACTTCAATAGTGAGTGACCTTCATGTTTCTATTGTGTGCTTCTTGGTTGCTCTTGTACTTTATTTTTAAGGCTAGAACCCACTAAACAGAGTTTATTTGAGTTTCCCATTAGATGACACAGATCTAGGACATTTCTTTCCCGACATCCTCTATTTAGATAAACTATGTTAACGACACTTAAGGCTTACACTTCAAATGTATCAGAGTTAAGAGTGTACTCATGATTCTCAGGGTATCATGCCTATGTTGCACAATACAGGTCTAGGTACTGTATAACATTAATTCAAGTACAAAGGCCTGAGTTGTTTTTACAGCAGGGTCATAAATTTAAATTCAAGGTCTCTTTTAAGTAGCCCAAAACCTCCACTTTAGTGTAGAATGGAAACGTTTTGTTTCGTGGATGTGATTCTTCATACCTTACGTTTTTACGCAATAGCTTGATTTCTACTCCACTGCCGCAGAAAGTGCCGTTACTTCATTAGTAACCACCCAAGAGACAGCGCCTTGTTTTATTATGTGTTCAATTATGCTTACTATTCAATTAAGGTTGGAAGTATGCCAATCACTACTAATTTGTCACCTTAGTCAAAAGAGCAGATAAATGAAAAGCCTGTTCTCCAAACTAATAAATTGGAAGGATTAATTAGGAAACAGATGCCTGCAGCAGAAGACAACTATGTCTCTGTCCGTAAGACAGTGGCCCACATACACATAGCTGACCTTTAATGTGACTGATATCCTTGTGACAGGGCTGTGAATTAGCAATACAAAAACTTTTTCCCTGTAAAATGTCTTGCTAATTTTTAGAAACGCAAACCTTCCTGCTTCTGCAGCGCCTATAACAACAGCATCTCCTAGGAAAGTAAATAACCTTTGGGAATGATAGCTAGAAAATTACTGACAGCATGGCCTTCCTTAGGTTTCTCTGGTTTTCTATTGGCCTTTATCCTGTAGCAGATAATCCAGAAGTTACATGAAGTGTGGAAGGCAATAAGGTATTTTGAATTACCAGTGTATTTAGGAATCTGTGCTAGAGAACAGCAGTCAAATTCCCTGTACCAAGTTACTTGTTGCCCATAAAAGTGCGGGCATGCCTAACTGGCTTGCTCATGAATTTTGGTTTAGAAAGCATTTTTCCAGGCATCTGAGATCTCGTTAAATCTTCCTGCTAACACAACCTCTCATTTCATGCCCTCGCTGGTGTAGACTCCATTGGCCTGCACCGTGTGGAGAACATAAGCCACACAGAGTCTGCTGTTAGCCTGCATTTGTACAGCCCACCCTTTGACAGCTGTAACACCTTTGATCAGAGGACTGGACACAAGCACAAAGTCAAGATGACCTTCTACAGCCAGTTTGGAGAAAGGACTCTCTGCGTAAGTATGGGATAACACGCTCCCCGCCCGGCCCTGGTCTGTGAGCCCTCAGCCCCTGCGGGGACAGGCACGAGGGGCTGCCCTCTTCCCTGCGCAGGGCAGAGCGCCGGTGCCCCAGGACAGGCAGGAGGTCCAGCAGCCTCGCCTTTGCCAGGGCATCCCTGTCTAGGACCAGGATAAAACCTGTTTCCAAATCCTACTCGATTTGTCGATTTGCACTTCCCTCGTGTAGAGTTCCCTGCTTTGTAGCTTGCCTCCCCTTCACCAGCAGGAGATCAGTTCTGAGCAGTGAGGAGGATTAATGAGAACTTTGCTACTAGCTAAGCATCTTCAGACAGCAAATTATGGTAAATGCAACCTAGTCAATGGAAAACTGTGAAGCAGCTACATTGTTTTGGCCAACTTAAGTCATGTGTAACATTTCCTGCCTAAAATGTTCTGCCAAAAAGCATTACATTTCAAGTCAGTTGTTTTAAACCTTGTAGCTTACTGTAAAGTAAAGAATTCTTTAATAAAGTTAATTTAAGTCTTTAAAATCAAAACTTTGACACAGAAAGACTTGCTCTGAGAGTGAGAGTAGGCTGGTTGGCTGTTGTCTGCATTCTTGAGCAATGGCATGAGATTTTATTTGGATAGAAAAGAAATCTTAAGATCAGCTTTGGGGGACCAAGCTAGGACATCTGGGAGAGTTTAATAGGGTTCCTTTTAGTGCTCTTCCATGCATTGGGAACATAACTACTTATACGGGGAGAAAAGACAGATTCTTGATGTTGAGCCACAGAGTTCAAAGTCTGTTTGGTTTTGTTAGATACAGAACACTTTCACCTTTCACTGAAGCCAGAAATTCAGTGCTCAGGAGTTTCCCGGAGTGAGCACTTAGTAAGATCCAGTTAAAGTTTTATATAATGGACAAGTACCATGTAAATTATTTCTTTGAAGCTTGTCACATTACGTGATTACAACTTTAGCAAACAGCTGAAACACAAACTTTGACCTTCCTGAGTTTGAAAGGTCTTTGAGAAAGTAAATTTATAATTCAGATTTTGAAGGGAAATAAACATGGAAAAATGTTGAGCAAAATTCACGCAAGAATTCAGTATTTGCTTGCTTTCTTTTTGTTTTAAGAGTGTATTGAATATGAAGTATGTAAGATAACAAGCAAGTCTAGATGTTTTGACTTGGACTATTTTCCTACCCTTGATCTGTAACTATTGGGGAGTGTTTGTACCTTTTGTGAGAAACTGGATCTGGCTTACAGGAGAGAGGTAAATCTTAATCATTGAGTCTCTTTCATGAATTCCTGTAAATGCAGTTCAAGTAATGGGGAAAGTGGTAGCACGTTTGGGCCATCCAGCTGCCTGAAATGTCTTCATGCTACAAACCTTCTGGTCTCAGTGAGGGTTTCTGGAAAGCTGACTGGAAAATCAAACTTTCTTCTGCTTCCCAGATCTCAAAAAGACATAGAAAGACAGAGAGCTATAAGTTAAAAACACTAAAAGAGCAATGTAAAGTATACTTGTCTGTCTTTTATGAGTGAGAAGAACTGCCTAGCTAAAGCATATTCAGTGCTTCCTCTTTGTCTTAATTTCTTCTGCAGGTAAAACACACGGGTAAATCCCTAGTGGCTTCTGGCCATGATGAAGTCTTAATTAACTAAATCTCCAGTAAATACATAATAAGTTATATAGGCCTAATAGTTAAAACAGTATGTAGTATGTCCAAAGACTTGCCCGTAGAAACAACTATTTACCCAGTTCAGGTAAAACCATGAGAATACTGATGCGAAAGTTCTCTGAGGGAAAACTGATTTTCTCTTGGGTGTCACAGCACATCAGTTCCTGCTGCCAGGAATTTTGCTGGGGGAAGTGATTTCTCTTTGCAGCCTGTCTTCCAAGCTGGACTTTCAAGCAGTTTCTGTCAAAACAAAGTAGAGCAGAATATCGGGGAGAAAAGACAGCCCGAAGGAGGAAGAACTCCTCAGCTGTCCCTTCTGCTGTGGGCTTGCTCCACAGAGCCAATAGACAGGGTGATTTTGTGAGGTGCACAGTGCCCTCTACAAAATTCTGACAAGGAGTACTGAAAATAAATACGCTAAGTATTTTAAGGTGCTGAGCTACTCCAGGAATAAAGGCCCGTGCTGAGAACATGAAGTAGGTGGTGACTCTCTCTTTCCTCAAAACAGCAACCTCTCCTGTTTCCTTTTAGGCAACAGCAGTGCCGCAGGAGAACAACTGAGAAGCACCAGCACGCATTTGCATAAGACCTGCTGAATGTTTAACCAGGGACAGAAGACTTGCATGGCTAAGGCCGACAGCCAGCTGTATTTCTATACCTTGTACATAGAAGTACACTAGGGCACCTTCCAGGCCACCCTCAGTTCCCCCGAGCAAATGCCGATTATGGGACACTAAGCTAGTGCCATAAACTACTTCAGAGGTTAGATGCCTTTTCTTAGGCTCCTGTCAGAATTAAGTAGTTTGTTTTCTGATTCTGGCCTCCTTTTAATTCCACTTCTGATATCACACTGAGAATATCAGAAATAGGGTTTTTAAACATCATCTGACACTACTTAACAGGCCTATGTGTATGTATGCTCTCAATGTAATTAATAACTATATGAACTTCTAAGCTTCCAGTCATTTGTACCTATGGGTAGTACACTAGATACAACTAACAGCAGCTCTTTTTTTTTTTTTTATTAAGTCTTTTAGGTTTTAACGCTCTAGGCCATTTTGATAATTTTGTGCATTTTTTACTTTTTATTTTTTACAATTTCATTTGTCAGATGATTGTTTTAAATAGGAGCAGCGAAATGCTTCATGCACAATGATCTTCAAAACTGATTGGGCAGAGATTTGGGTTTAGAATAAGACTAATCATACTTAATTCAGCTAATGTCCAGTTTCCAAAGTATTCTGTGTAGCTACTGAAGAAGGTAACTGAAATAAAACTGGATTTGTGCACAGATTTCAAAGTTTTCAGCCTTTTTCTCCTGGTAACTAAAATGTTCATCACACTTCACCAAAATCCACATTCCTCATGAACATCTAAGTCTTTTCCAAGCAATGCACTATTAGAAAAGGCTTTAAAAAGTTGAAAATATTTCAAACATGCGGAGAATCCTGATCCAAATTAAGTTGGTGGGAGTTCTGCCATTGAGTTCACTGATGCTTAGTTTTATCCTCCAGATTTAGTTGCAAGGAGAGAACCATCTTGAAAAAAGTTAACTCTAATTAAACATATCAAAACCAGCAAAGCTGCCCACACTGAGGCTATCCCATTCCTTTAATGCAGTTAGTACATAAGACAAGTAGAGAATGTATAGCAAGTCTAGTCTGGCAGGTGACTGCTGGTTACTGAGGCAGCAGTTTAACAGTATCCTTTTTACATAAGTCACATATTTCCCTCCATATTGACAGGCCCAGAAAATATTTACTTTATGAGACCCTGTTTCCAGAGAGGCTGTGTCAAATTTCAAAAAATGTTTGAGCGGTGTAACAGTTTTTAAACGAACTTTTGCCCTTGGGCTCCAATTACTCCTTGAGGGCCAGTGGGAAAAAGCAGTAGGTGCTTTGCAATTTTTTTTTTTTTTTTTGGGGGGGGGGGAGGGGCAGGGAGAAGGAAGAAAGGGGGCATGGAAGGAGAAGGAAAAAAATTGAAAGATAAAGCAGGCCTAAAGGCAATAGAAGGGGGATAAGCATCTGCAGTAAGTGGGGACTGTCTGCATGAGGTGGACCTGGAAGCTGTGCTAAAGGGGTCAAGGGAACATGCAGCCCAAAACTGGAAGAAGCATTAGGAGCAATGACACTGCAGGCGTGAAGAATCCCCTATGCTTTTCCTGGGCTCCAGCATACCCCAGACATTACCATGTTTCTTTCCCGTTCACTATGAACCAATTCCTGAAAAATCTTGTCAAGCCAGATACTGGGCTTGAGCATCTTAATTTGGCATGGCTCAAGTTGTTGTGAGAGTGTCCAGCACCAGAGATGAGCTGAGGCTGGCAGTCCAGCCGCCCTGCTCATGCAGGGACTCCGAGAACAGGTAGCTCAGGGCTACGTCCAGTTGGGTTTTGAGTATCTCCACAGATGGAGGCACCACAGCCTCTCTGGACAAACTCTTCCAGTGTTTGACCACCCTCAGAAAGCCTTACATTTAGACAAAATGTCTTGCATTTCAGTTTGCACCCACTGCTTCTTGTCCTCCTCCCCCTTCTCACAGGACATGAGCAGTTTCACTTCACTGACTTCAAATATAGCATATTCATCATGCTTTTGCTTACTAGGTAAAATTAAAGGACAAACCCAACAGCTTGTAGATCATGGGTTCAGTCAGGTCAGAGGAACGGGAAAGATCAGAGAGACAGCCAAGAAGCACAGCAGCGATGACAGCAGCTAGCTGTACCAAGATCCATTGATATAGAAACTTAGGCGGTACTCCAGCTAGCCACACACATGCCTAGCAAGTGAGGCAGTGGAAATATAAGCAGAAAAGGTAACAACTATCTACTCAAGTTGTCCCAAACACTGTTTAGCCACAGTAAACATGCTATCAAACATTGCATAAAATAATACAGGAATTTCAGTGTTTCAGAACAAGGTACTTACCAGGCACTTATGCCCACCATACAAGAAACATAAGGGGGTAGCCTATCCAACATAAAGGGCACTAATACAGGAAACTTCAAGATACATTATTAATTGGGTCCAGAGTTCTTAGAACACATACCACAGCTGCCACCTTTGCTACTTCCTAAGCACTAGCTATGCATCTTGTGCTCTGTATGGCACAAGCATAAAGCTAATACTTACCAAAAGCAATATTTAATCAATAAAAATCAAGTGATATAATGAGAAATAGAGTTACCTTTTCACTTACACAAATATGTTCATGTAACCTGCGCTGGCTTAAAACGTAGAAACCAATAACAACAAAATAGTATTTGCACATTATTATGGCTGAACAGCCAAGGTATTAAACCTTCTAGCATATGAAAGTACTTGAGCTTTGGAGTAGCGCGAACTGGCCAGTTGACGATGTAGCAATATGCTGTAGGCTGACAATTAGCTTTCATTGGATAATGAACAGATGTTTAGCATTTCATATGCTTTCATCTGGGAAGGTGCTATTGAGCAGTGTCACTGTAAATTGAAGAGAGTTTAACATTTACCTGGGTTACACTTAAGATCCTTAAGTGGTAAGAGATACTGTCCTAAATCATTAATACTACTAAATCATTCAGGCTGGCAACAGCAGGAGGAACTCAGTCTAACTATAGTTTGGTGCATTAATTAAGATTTCAGTGAAGGAACTTCAACAGAAAGACATAGGGAGGCAAAGTAATGCCAGGAGTGGAATGAAGTGCAATATTTACATGAATTCAGCAAATTGCAAGGGTTTGGTGTTTTTTTTGTTGTTTTGGAGAGTCATTATTAGGAATTTTGCAAGAAGAAAAGTTGTTTATCAAACACATGCTTTACATGGGAAGGCTCTGTAGCAAAGAGTGCCTGGGAAGGCATATGCCATATGCAAGGGAAAAGCTGACAACAGGGACTCTTCCAGGAATGGAAATGCTGCTCCTGTCTGTGTGGCTGTGGCTGATGAGGACTAGATTCACAGAAGCTCAGGACGTGTGTTCTGGGAGTTTCCACCTATGTACAACCAGCAGGTGAGCAGCTCTTTTTCTTCTCATGCCGAGGTGTGGGAGCTCTGAAGCCTCTAACAGGAATTTTTGCTGGAAGAGGGTCCCTTGCTGTGTAAACACAGTTTCTTAATGTTCTTGTGGATAATTGAGTCTAGAGTTACTTTCTGTCTAACTCACTACAAAATCTTATCATACACGAATTAGTTCAGTTCGTTATTTAAACCTGGGTGACACTTACTTAAGTCTCTTGATGTTTGAGCATTATTCATCTTCTTCCATTGTTGATATATAGAGGAACACAGCAGAAATTAAAATCCACCCTATATGTAACCCTGCTTCCATTATAAAGTTTTTTCCCTAAACCACAAAGATAAAAGATGTGCTATTCACTAGCTAATCCTTATAGTTATTTTTCTACAATCCTCTCATGGCCAAGAGAAAGCTGTGTTGCAAGAATATAGCCTTCCCAAGCTTAAAAGAGGTGACCTGCCTACAGTGACTCTTTGCAGAGACAAGCAGAACGACATGAAGCTCGGTACTTTTCAACCATACTATATATTCTGCTCCTGACGGTTTAGCTCATGAAAGACTTTGCTGTCCTTAAATGTCAGAGAGTCTTATGTTCCAGTTATGGACAGTAGCTCCAGCCTCTCTGGTTGGTAAAGGAAGCAAAACCACCATGGACTAATTGTGCAGGCCTTCAAGACTAGTTCTGACTCTTGTAGCTCATATGAAGCTTTATTCAACAAATAGATCTCAAATCTTTGAATCCTGTGCATACTTTACACTACATTGTATTTCTTCAGGGATGAATGACCCCCAAAATAGGGATAGACAAACTCTTCTAACCTAATTGATCATTCCTGCATGCTACACGAGAAATGTTTGGGGGTTTTTTAATAAATAATGAAACATCTTATGTCTTTTGCTCTTTGCTTTGACTCTCCAATTCACTGAAAACCTTTGGTACAGACAGATGAGTACATTATTTTCTCTTAAAGCCTAACTTCTTGACATCTGAGGTGTGCCTCCTTCCTGTCTCATTGTAGGTTCAGAGGAACACATGATGTTAAAATCAACTCTATTTGCACTTCATTTCCCAGTAGGAAAAAAAATCCTTTTCTGAACCACAAAGATAAAGTGTATATGCTGTTCACTGGCTCATGCTTTGGTTTATTTTTCATGCCCATCCTGCTCTTGGTTTTAGATTTATATTCTTTCAGGGCCCTGTGCTTTCCTAGATTTAGTTTAGCTAGCTGGCTGGCCTATGGCCAATGGTGGTGAAGAACATTTTAAAACATGATGATTAAATGTGAATTAATGCATTAATTAGGGGATGAAACTTCATTAGCCTGCTTCCTTAATTCATAATAATTAGACAAATGACATAAGAGGATTGTGTGGCACGTGCTACTCTGATCTGGCCAGTGTCCCTGAGATCCACATGAATCACAAAGCTACCATGAGCAAAACATATTCCCTGACTAGAAAGCAAAACTTCTGCTTCACAAGACAGCTACATCCCGTTATTTGCTCCCACTCAGTATTCAGACGCCGACCCTCAGTATCTCTGGTTTTTCATTTTTGTTTGTTTTTTAAAGCACATCGGGAATGCAAAGTGTTTGATTTTCTTTGTAAGTCACTGTCTCAGGAAGCTCTGAGAGGAGCAGCCAGAAAAATGAACCTCCTCTTCCCTCCCTAGTGGAAAAAGATGCCCCTGCAACATATCATCTGTTTGCAGTCAGCTCTCTGATCAAATAAGCATGCTGAAAAATGTTTCTTCTTTTGTTTCTATCTGCAGGCAGGCACAAAGCTCTGCCCTTAAGAGAACTGCAAAACAGCTGTGTGAGTGCTTGGCGTTAGGTGCAGAGACCTCCTGTTGTCACTCACTTAGAGAATGGCCCTGAAAGTGCGTGTCCTAAGCATAAGAACAGGCAATCCTGAGGAGCAGAATAGCTCTGGAGATTAGAGAACTACACTGTAAATGCTGAGGGTCTGTTGCTACTGCAAACACCAAGTTCATTTGAGGTCTGGTTACATATGGTTATAGAAGCCCTGGTTTGAACCTTACACTGAAATATTGAAAAACCTGCTGGGAGGCACTCGGACCTGTGGCATATAGCTATTCCTTTGTTGTAACTAAGGCTCTGAATGGGCCTGAGGTTGCTTGTATGAGAATATTTACCGAGCACGTTCACAGGGAAGAAAACAGTATTTGTAAAAGCTTGCTTCAAAGGAAATGTGCAAAATAGCCCTGTTTAAACTCAGAGGCTGGAGGAAGCCTTATCACCTTTTTGGGCTAGATCTTTATTCAGTA